TTTTTTTTTTCAAAATTTTCGATGAGAGTACAATATAAGATATTATGAAGAGAATGGTTGTTTTTCCAGAGACTTCAATGAATCGAACATTATAAAATACGGAATTATAACAATACGCGAGTGCCATGTTGAAAATGTCACGGGACAAAATACGTCATTTTCAGATTTATTCTGCCCAGGCACAAACTATTGTATACTCCATATACCTGGAATCAAATTTATAGGAGCAACTATGGAAATTGTGAAATTTTTACTACAAAATAAAATAACATATATGGTACCGTAAAAAAAAAAAAAAAAAAAAAAAAAAATGGAAGTCTAGAAATCTTTACACAAGATGCGGATATATTATTTTGTTTAAATTAATATCTTTTATGTCGTTATGATTTAGTTTCTTATTTCTTTTGTCGAGCAGAATAAAATGGTATTTTGTAAAATAATTTGTTCTACAGTAACAACTATTCAGAATGTATTAATAATTAGAGTGGAGTTTTTTAACAACTCCTCTTCCGAAATTATCCGATATTATTAACATCCTTCGGTATTTTTTTTTTTTTTTTAAATTTGAAAATCTTTCTAAAACACAAAGTGTATTTGCAAAAATTTAATTACTTTAATTTTCTCTCTGTTTCTTACGTTCTCTTCTGCTAATTTCTTCTTCACGATGACTACAACGTTGGTCCAATATTAATTAACAATAAATTTGGCTGAACGTAAGTTTAACTGTATCTAATCGACTTTAACACTTGGTTTTACGAGTTTGATTCGAAATCCAACATCGATTCAAGGTCCAAGCGATAACAACGAACAAATTCTCTCCTTTGCTCAGCGATCCTTCAGTTCAATTACGTACAGACGTAATACTCTACGTGACTTTTTTCTTTCTTTCTTTTACTCTCTGGCTTCGCTTTCGTAAATATCGCCGCGTCGATCCAAAGTCCAATCAACATCGACGAGCAAATTATATCTCTGTGCTTGCTCGATACTGAGAGGCCAGCTGACTGAAAATCCACAAAAGAGAGAAAGAAATCGCGATTAAACGTATTTTCGAGATATGCATCACGTTCTAACGATAGCAGACTACGTCCTCTCAAGATGGTACGCATCTTGCTCATCATCGAGCCACGATGTTTCGAGGCTAAGGTCCAATGTGGCGGGTTCGACTTGCTTCGTTGTTGCGCGCGCAGCGCAAGGGGGGAAAAAAATCTAGGGCTGGCCGAAGTTAATTTTATTTAAAGTTCGCAAACTGCTTATACACCGATTACACCGGTCTATAAACAAGCAGGTTAGGCCTTCTCGTTAAATGCTTAATGAGCGTTACGTCAGGCACAGTTTCAAGCCATGATGATTGTATACCTTATTACTAGGCAACGTGTTGTCCTCGTGAATCCCCCATATATCATCCAGCACGCTATTTTTTTTTCTCTCTCGGAAAATATTGTCGTAATCGAAGAGATGTCTCGATCAATGGCACGGTCATTGCAATGTAAAAAAATATCGAGCAACTATATTTAAATAGAATTGAAATACAATATATATATTTATTTATTTATTTATTGTATTTCATGAATTTTATTTGAACAGTGAGTTACTTGATATTTTCTTTAACAAGGACAAACATCGATTGGTTACCTATTATTATTTAGTGACTGTATGGCTACAGTAATTAGATTGATAAAATTCAGGCCACTTGATCTTATCGATGAAGTTCAATCAAATTAAAAATTCTGGAATCAAGTGATTCAACCGTGGTTGCTAATGGCATTGTTCAATCAAGAGTTACTTTTGCCACGGATAGAAACTTTTTCCAAACCAAAGTGGTATAAATTTCGACAAATTCAAGTGTACTTTAACTTAGGCTTTGTTTAACTAGTCTTTCAAGATGCAATTGGAAAAAAAAACAAAACGTATTGTCCTTGGAAGTTTCGAGTATCTATTAGCCGGTCGATCGAGATTGAAAGCGCCGCTGCGTCGCAGGAAGAAAAAGGGAAATCGGCGGAAAGACGCGCGGCTAGAAAAGTAAATCGAGGCTCAGGCTATATGTCGCACAACTGTTGGACAACGTATCGATTTTATACTCGGCTGCTTCGTGGGGCGTATTCCTCTTTTCCCCCAGTTTCGGCGTTTCGTTTCAGAGGAGGGGAGAAAAAAAAAAAAAAAAGGGGGCAGAGAACGATCGCAGGGAAAACTCGTCGAAGCGTGAAAAGATCAGAGGGTGGAAATCGAACGAAGAATTCACGAGGTCACGGAGAAAAGGAACAACAATAACAACAACAACAACGAAAAAGAAACAAAAAACGATGATCGAAGACAAAAGAA